ATATTTTTTGTGTTGCATGTCTGCTGGTGATGAATCTGTTAGCTCTTGTTTATCTGGAAATGTTCCTTTTACACATACTTAATTCTGTGTTTTTAAGATGTCATTTCATTGACTTGATTTCTGTGGTTTTATTGGAAAGCTACCTGTTAGAGTTTTTGCCTGTAAATATCACCTTGTTTTATTCTCTGGGTTATTCTCCACCTCTTTAAAAATTATCCTTTCTGGGGCTGGAGAGATGGCTCAGCAGTTAAGAACACTGGTTGTTCTTGCAGAAGACCCAGGTTTGAATCCTAGCACCCACGTGGCAGCTAACAACTGTCTGTAACTCCAGTTCCAGGGGATCCAACAGCCTTTTCTGACCTCCACAGGCATTGCACGACACGGGTGCACTTACCTACATGCAGGCAATATACGCATACACATTAAAAAAAAATTCTTTCTGTTGTTCACCTCCAGCAGTTTGACTATGGTGTACCTATGGGTTGTTTAATTTTGCTTTGCTTTAGGCTCTCTGGGCTCCTTGAATTTTAGGGCACTTTCTTTAGCTTTAGGAAATTCTTGGCCATTATATCCTCAATTATATGTAAATTAAATCTATTTGCTGTGTCTGACTTACCTTTATTATATGTAGTTTTTTTCCATTCTGCCATTTTTGTACTTCTATTTGAATGTCTAATATAAATGTAAAACTTGTCTTTATGTTGACTATTCCTGTTTGCTGCAGTCTGTAGTATGCTGTCAAATCCATCTATTGGTGCTGGTGGTGTCAGCATTATCTGGGAGCTTGTTAGAAATACAGAATCCAAGGTTCCTTCTCAAAAAACACTGAAAAATAACCTGTACTTTAACACAATATCCAGGTTCTTTCTATACACATTACAGTTAGTGTGTTAAGTGTTTATAGACCTTATAAAATTTAGTTAAGACATGTGCCTGGGATGTTTACAATGGAATCTATCTTATATACCTATGCTTTGCTAACTGGTTTAATCATATCACTTTTATCCTTCCCATGAGCTCAGTTTTCTTGTCCTACTTCTATAAATGTTGAAACAGAGGCCCAGAGAGATTACCACACATATACCTACCTAGCACTTTGCAGAACACAGATTTACCCCATATCTGACTATGCTCATCCTGAATAATTGCATTGTCACTTTTCAAACTGAAACCCTTTTGAGGAAAGAGCATCCTGTTAATAATTAATGCTTATGCATCACTTTTTTGTTTTATTTTGTTTTTTGGTCTTTTTGAGTCAGGGTCTCCCTGTAGCCCCAGCTGGCCTGGAACTCACTCTGTAGACCAGGCTGGCCTCCATCTCTCAGAGATCAGCCTCCCTTCTCCCTCCCAAGTGTCAGGATTAAAGGTGTGCCCTACCATGCCTGGCTCATGAATAACTTTTCAGAAACTTTGTTTTTACTCTGTCCCTCTTGATAATTTTTTAAATTTTTATTGAATTTTTACAATTTTATACAATATACTTTGATGGTATTTACTCTCCCCTGTTCCCCCACCCGATTTAATGTATTTTATATATTATATATTTAATATATATAAATAGTAAAGTACAGCCTATAGAGGATGATTTCTATCCCAAAATGTACTTCAGTGGGGGACCATCCACTGGAGCCTGGTTAACCTACCAAGACTCCCATCCTTGTAACAGACTATCCCTCCTCCCAGCAGCCTGTTATTTTGGCTAGATGAATAGTGTAAAGTCTTTCACGTAGGCTTCACTTGCATTTCTTTCAACGTGAGGTATTGCATGTTGTTAAGTCATGTGGATTTGCTTGACTGAATATTGTTTCTATTTTATACCTTGTTAGTTTTTAATCTTGATTTTAATTTAAAATATTTTAACTAATACTTTATATATAAAAATAAAATAGAAACCAGTGTACCTCTACTCAACTTTTAAAATTTATCACTTTGCCTTTTTATTTCAGATTTGTATATTAGTGAAATACATTACATTAGTAGAGTTTTCTAACTTAGCTCTCTGCAGTCTTATGATGAAGAAATGAACAATGAACTTGTAATTTTTAAAAGAATTATTTATGGATTGTGTTTGTTAGTACTTAGTTTATGATTTTTTGTATCTGTTTTGACAAGTGTCTCAACAAAGCAAAACAAAAAAATAAAAACAAAAAATTACTTTTTTATGTATCTTACCTGCTTTGGTATCACAATCAAACTAAACTTGAAATGTGTCAGTTTCTTTGTCATGTGGACTTAAGATGGACTTGTCATTTGGTTGCCCCCACATAGAACTTCAGAGCTTGATTGGTTTTCCTTCTTTCTTAATCTTCAAGTGTCTCAACAAAGCAAAACAAAAAAATAAAAACAAAAAATTACTTTTTTATGTATCTTACCTGCTTTGGTATCACAATCAAACGAAACTTGAAATGTGTCAGTTTCTTTGTCATGTGGACTTAAGATGGACTTGTCATTTGGTTGCCCCCACATAGAACTTCAGAGCTTGATTGGTTTTCCTTCTTTCTTAATCTTCCTTTTTTTTCTTCTTTCTGCCTTCTTCATTAAAAAGGTAAATTTTATTATTAAAATATAAATCAGTATCTTTATTTTTAGTTTCATTGAAACTTTTTTATTCTTGAATTTTTTTAGTTGTGTTTTTCTGAAAACGGTTCCATTTTTCTTTTCATATTTACCGGCATAATGTTCTATCATTCCATTTGTCTTTGTAACTTGTAGTTGTACTTTTTATAAATTGCTTGTGCCTATTTTTATTCCTTGTTAGAGATGACAAGGCTTGTTTATTTTGGTAGTCATTGCAAAAAATCATCTTTTTTTGATTCTCTTTAACATGTATTCTGTTAACTACTCCTTTAAAAAATATTATTTATCTCTGCGTGTGTGTCTGTGTATCTGTGTCTGTGAGTGAATATGTGCACACATGAATGTGAGTGCCCACAGAGGCCAGAAGAAGGTGTTAGATCCCATTGTAGGTGAAGTTACAGGCTGTTGTGAGAGAGCCACCAGATGTGGGTGTTGGTAACTGAACTTGGGTCCTCTGTAAAATAGCAAGTGTTCTTAACTGCTGTGCCGTTTTTCCAGCTTCCATTTTTACTCTTTATTATGTCCTTCTTTCAGCTTTATCTGGGATTGCTCTGTAATGAGTTAAATACCCAGATCACTCTGTTCTTGACTGATGTAGACAGGTTACTAACTATAGTTTTTCCTCTTAAGAATCATTTCAGTTGTATAATTTTTAACATATGATATGATAGTTGATAATCATTCCTTTTGAGTGCATTTTAACCTATGTAACACTTTTTCCTTTGCCATAAGTGCTTGCATTTTAATTTGTTATAGATTTTCCTTTGATCTGTAATGGTATGTTGAAGTATTTGTAAGTGAAATAATGAAGGAAAGTATAATTAGAAAGTTGCTACTGAATGTTTTTAATCTATAACTTGGTAAAATTATTACTTGTCTATAGATAATTGTATTAATAGGTTAAAATTAGAATTTAAATCTTAGTCATCAATCATTATTAAGTATGTCATTTCTATCTATAGTAGAATGAAAATATTACTTAGAATAAAAATATTTTTGCGAAGCTTATGTTTTAGTGTAGGATTTAAATTTTTAATGCGATAATTTCTGATTTAATTGAAGTGTTAGAAAACATGGTACATGTGATTATTCTTTTATAGTTTTGAAAACTTGTTTTGAGTTCCACATGATTATAGGGCACATTTGTGTGTATATATATGTATATGTGTAAGTGTTTTCTTTGTGCTTGGAAATAATACATTCTATTTATGTTGCTATGTGTTCTATACCTTCTAATTTTAAAATTAAGATTTTAAATTCTTTATTTTTAATTATTTGTCCTTGTGTATGTTTGTGTATAGGTATGTGCACATGAGTGCAGATGCCCACAGAGGCCAGAGGCATCAAATCCTCCTGTAGACAGTTGTGAGCTACCCATCAAGGGTGTTGAAAACCAAACAGGGGTCTTTTGCAAGAGAGTATGTGCTCTTAACTACCAAGACATCTCTTTAATCCCTTATTCAACCTTTTATGTGCATTTTACAATAACTGAGAAAGAGGTGCTAGACATGAAGATACATACCTGTAATCCTAGCATTTGGGAGGTGGAGGCAGGAAGATTAGGAATTTAAGGCCAGTTTCAGCTACATAAGGAGTTTGAGGCCAGCTTAGGCTACTTGAGACCCTATTGCAAAAATAAATGAATAAATAAAAGTTTTGGGCACCAGTGAGATGACTCAGTGGGGAAAGGCACTTACTGCCAAGCCTGATGACCTGATTTTGACCCCTATAACCTACATAGTGGAAGGAGAGAACTCCCTCAAATTGTTTTCTAACCTCCACAAGTACACTGACACATGTGTGCATAAGCTCACACACATAAACAAATGTAAAAATGTTTAATTAAAAAATAAAATTTGAAGAAATCATGTTATGGTAAATTTAAAGAGTGCAAAGGATGTAATTAGTATATTGTGTAAACCTTTTAATTTTTAAGATGAAAATGTTTCATTCTTTTAAAAGTATTCAATGGCTTGTTATTTCAATGACTTAAAAATTACTATCAGTTAAAATACACACATACACAGAAATAATATTACCCTTCAGGTACTAAAGGGAACTTAGGAGCTATCTTCAAAAGACAGCTAAAAACTGGATAATTTTTTTTTTAAAAAAACCTCTTTGAAAGAATCCCAGTAGTCATGTTTTAAAATGTAGAAGCAAAGAGGTATTAAAAACTGGATAAAATGGTTTTTTTAAAACCTCTTTGAAAGAATCCCAATAGTCATATTTTAAAATTAGAAGCAAAGAGGTATTTGATTAAACATTCAGTTTTAAGTTTCATTGTGCTAAAATATTTCATTTGCTACCAAACTTTCTGCTGATTTTGAGAGGTGCCACCAAAGCTCCATGACAAATTATGGATGTTATGTAAACGTTCTGTTAGCTGTCTGTAATCAGTTCCTTTTATGCTTCATTTCTAGGTATTACACCTGTGTATCATAATATGTTTGCTTTAATGAGTGAAGCAGAAAGAATCTGGTATCCACCCAACCATGTCTTCCACATAGATGAGTCAACCAGCCATAATATACTCTACAGAATAAGGTACTTTCTCACATAATTTGTGTATTAGTAAAAGGGCAAAGTGGAAGATATTCTTAACTATATAATACGGTAACTATGATGTTTTGTTCTGTTGCGATGCCATTTTATGACTTTTCATTATAATTTAGAATTTTTAAAGAACAGAACAGAGTGGGCGTTGTAAGTAAAATCCTTAAGAATGTTGCTGATTTCCCAGGAAATTTGATACTTTGTACAATAAAATTCAGTCTTACATCTCTTCTCTATAAATAAGTTTTTAAACTTGAAAGATTTTTGTTTGCAGCTTTGGATTGTAAGCTAATTTATCTAGTGATTTATGGCAATGTATAATATCTATTTAGCAAAATCCAGAAGTATTTTTCTATACAAAAAGGAGGTAACAAAGACATAATTTTTAAAAAATATTTTATTTATTATGATTTACCTTTTCCTCTAGTCTCACAAACCATATTTTTCTTTTAATCCAGCAGTGCCATTTAATGCACTATAGCCTATATTTTTTTAACTTTTACAAAAACTTTATTGAGAACTTTATACATGCATATAAGGTGTTTCGATCAAATCCATGTCCACTTCCTCCCTTATGTGTGTGAATGTTATGTCTGCATGTAGGTAAGTGCACTCGTGCTGTGCAATGCCCGCAGAGGTCAGCAGAGGCTGCTGGATCCCCTGGGACTGGAGTTACGGACAGTTGTTAGCTGTCATGTGGGTGCTGGGATTTGAATCCCGGTCTTCTGCAAGAATAGTGTTCTTAACCGCCAAGCCATCTCTCCAGCTCCCATACTTTGACTTCTTAATGGAGCATAGCCACAAACTCGCAATGTAGTAGGCTGGTCCTGAACTTTTGATCCTCCTCCTTCCACCTCCTGACTGATGGGATTCTAGGTGGAGACATGGCCTTATCTCTGCCCTTGAGAGTTCTGAGATGGCTCAGTGGTTAAGAGCACAAGCTGCTCTTACAGAGGGTCTGGGTTTGGTTCCCAAGCATCCACATGACAGCTAACAATCATCCATAACTGGGTCCAGGGGATCCAGCACCCTCTTCTGGCCTCTGTAGGCATTGCATACATGTGGTACACTTAACATCCATGCAGGCAGACATGAATACACATAAAATAAAAATAAAAATTTTTAATTAAAAGAGAGGAAAGGCACACAATAAGTTCATGAACAGACAAGGGAATGACAGATTGTGCTAAAAACTGTGAATCAAAAGAAATCAGGTGATGAGGTTGGGGGCAGTTTCAGATAGAGTGAGGTGATCAGGCACACAGAACCTTCCAGAGGAGCTGGCCTTTGAGCTCAGATATGACAGTGCTCTGAGAGTTGGATTTTTGGTGAACAGGGGAGTCACTGAAAGTTTTAAATTTTTTATTTTTATTTATGTATATCTAGGTGTGGGTGTGCACATGTATGTGGTGGTGCCCTCAGAGGTCAGAAGGTGCCGGATCCCCTGGAGCTGGAATTACAGGTGGTTGTGAGAAGCCTGACATGAGTGCTGGGAACCAAACGTGGGTCCTCTGCAAGAGCAGCAAGCCCTCTTAACTGCTGAGCCATCTTTCCAAGCCCTCATTGAACGTTTTAAAATAGGAAATGGCATCTAGGTTTTTGAATATGAGAAACTTAGTTATAGGAAAAACTTTTAGGCATAAAATAGATGAGATGGCTCATGCCAGTTACTCTAGATAAGGGATTCTGAAAGGATGACTCCTGTGTTGGAATCTTATTTCAGCTCTGGAAGGATCTCACATGGACCAGTGATATGTGTATGGTTTTTTTTGTTTGTTTGTTTTGTTTTGTTTTGTTTTGTTTTTGCTGTTGTTGTTGTTTTTTAATTTTTTAAAAATATTTTATTATTTTTATTGTATGTATATGAGTGTATTGCCTGCATGTATGTGAGTGTACCCATGTAGTGCAATGCCTTGGACGTCAGAAGAGGGCTTCAGATTCCCCTGGAACTGAAGTTAAGGATGGTTCGTAGCTGCCATGTGGGTGCTGGGAATTGAACCCGAGTCCTCTGCAAGAGCAATCAGGGCTCTTAACCACTGAGCCATCTCTCCAGCCCCTGTTTTTTAATTTTTTAAATTTAATAACCACATGATTAGAAGAAACATTTCATTACAGCTTTAACATATTCAGTAACACATTCCAGAGCAAGGACACATCTATTTCAAAAATGGCTGTAAATTTTTAGGTTCACAGTTTAATTAATACAGTTATACAATATTGAACTCAGTATAAACCCTGTAAGACATAAAATTGAATGAGTTTTTACCCTTTAAAGACGATCTCCATTTCATTTTAAAATATGCCATTTTCTACATTTTAATGCTACTAACAGATGTTTGCACATGTGCCTTTAATCTCTATGTATCTGATCATCACTAGTCACAATCGGTTACACTCAGATCCTTGGCACCTGAGTATGGATATAAAGTCATCAGGTAGATTTCACTGGTAATGTTTATCACCTCTACTCTTTAACATGAAGTAAATTTTTATGTTTCCTCTTCAAATATATCTTTTTTTAAATTTGTTGATTTTTTTGTGTGTATATCATACAGAACATCCCACACAATCTTACTCATCTATATACCCACTTCCCAATCGGCACCCTCTCATAGCCTTCCCCCTCCCACACACTGGAGCCCATATATTCTGTCATCCCTGTGACTGCAAAGACATAATTTTGATTTATGTATTACAAACCACTGTACTTTTCACACACATATATATTATATATGTGAAATTATATATATTATATATACTTTTCTCATGATTTCATGGGATAATAAGAATTTCTGTAAAAGATAAAGACTCTAATGCAGTGAGAACATTACTCATAACTCATATTTATTCATGGCCTCACAGCTTGGAAATGAGTGTCAGAGTTCAAACCTAGACCCAGTTTGCTACAAACTGTCTTGCAACCACCTTACATGTACCTCATTAAAGAGATAATGTATGTGTAGTGTTTAATGTTGAGCCTATCATTTGATGGTTCTATTTTATTTTATTTGAAATGAGTGTCAGAGTTCAAACCTAGACCCAGTTTGCTACAAACTGCCTTTCAACTACCTTACATGTACCTCATTAAAGAGAGAATGTATGTGTAGTGTTTAGTGTTGAGCTTATCATTTGATGGTTTTATTTGACAGGGTCTCTGTCATGTATCCCAGACTGGCCTTGAATTAACTGTTTAACCAAGGATGACCTTGAATTTCTGATCCTCCAGCTTCTACTTTCCAGGACTGCTGGGATTACAAGCATGGGCAACCACACCCAGTTTTGTGATGTTAGGAATCAAACCAGGTGGCATGCAGGATAGGCAATGGAACTACCTCCCTAGTACCTAATGGATTCTTAATAAATTTTAGTATTTCATTGCTTATTTCCTTCTCAGTCTGTTAAAAAATATGTAGATGCCTATGTTTGAGTTTTTAATTTCTAAGATAATTTTTAAAGTATAAGCATCAATTTTTTTTGTAAAATTACAGGTAAGAAATTAGGAAAAGGGTTCAGTGTCTAAATAATGAACACATAAAAACCAGTGTCAGGCCCAGCATGATAGTGCACTTTAATCCCAGCACTTGGAGCAGCAGAGGCAGGTGGATCACTGTGAGTTCGAGTACAACCTGGTCTACATAGCAAGTTCCAGGCTAGTTCCAGCAAGATCCAAAAAAACAGTGTCATTCTTACATATAAGTAGCTATTGAATAATGAAATGAGGAAGCCGCTATTTGAAGTAGCTTTAAACTTTATTCAGAAATAACCTTAAGGAAAAAAGTTGAAACAATATAGGTAAATTAGAATGGTGCAAGCCTTTAATCCCAGCACTTGGGAGGCAGAGGCAGGCAGATCTTTGTGAGTTCGAGGCCAGCCTGGTCTGGGGCACTAGCCCCCTTGGATATTAAAATTCATGTGTTCAAGGTGAAAGACTTGAATAAGTAGTTCTCTAAAGATGATATGCAAATAGCTAGTAGGCATTTGAAGAGATGCTCACCATCATTAGCACTGAAGAAATGTAAATCAAATCCATAAAAGCTTAACAACTGACCCACTAAGATGGTAAAAATAGAAAAGGCATACAATAACAAATGTTGGAGATTATTTGTACTAATTAGATTGTTCACACATTATCGTTGAGAATATGAAATGGTGTGTAGTCACTTTGGATAATGTTTGGCCAGAAAGATAAGTACAGAGTTACTGTATGGTTTGTCAGTTCAACTTCTAGGTATATGTTTTAAAAAAATGAAAAGACATGTCCACTAAAACAGTGTTCACAGCAGTGTAATTCACATTAGCATAAAATAGACATAACTCAAATGCCTTTTAAGTGAAAGATGGAAAGTAAAATATGGTATATCCATACAATAGAATATTAATTCATTAGGAAAAAGGAATAAAGTACCTGTTAATGAAAATTAAGAACATTCTGCTAAGTGAATGAAGTCAGATAAAAAGACCACATATATCTTTCCATCATATCATTGTTCTGAAAAGTGACTAGAACAGGAGAATTTACAAAAGCAGTGAGTCACAACTGGGGGTTAAAAAAGGGTCACCTGGGTGTGATTGCTAGTGGGAATAGGGTTCCATAGGAGAATTAAAATGTAAAAGTAAATTATGGGGGCCGAAGAGATGACTCAGTGGTTAAGAGCGCTGACTGCTCTTGCAGAGCACCTGGGTTTGGTTCCCAGCATCCTCATGATGGCTTACAACCATTCATAACTCCAGTTCCAGGGGATCCAATGCCCTTTTCTTACCTGCATGACACAGGTGCACGTACACACATACAGGCAATGCACTCATATACATAAAATAAAAATAATAAAATAAACTGTGATGTTGGTACAACACTGGATACATTACAAAATATTAAACACTTTAAATGGATAAGCTTTATGGTAGTCAAGCTTTTACTTTAAAAAGTGAATGTGCTTTTTTTTTCTTTGAAAGACAAGTTTTTAACCTCCCATTTCTCTAAAAGAAGAAATTATTTGTTTGCATAGCAGATTGCATTTTCAGATGCCTCTGTTGGTGTGACTGAAGTTAAAGTCTTTGTTGATGTGGCATTAGTATTTTGTCTCTGCACTTCTTGTTTCCTGTGATTGCTTTTACTTCCACATTCCATTATTTGTTGCATTAAAGTGGGTCATGGCGTTGGTTTTACATTTATTTGTGTTTCATTTGCTGTTGGTTTGTTGTTTGGTGTTTTGTTTTCTTTCTTTTGGGGTCAGCATCTTATTTTATGTAGCCCAGGATAGCCTCAAACTTGTGATCCTCCTGCCTCAGTTTCCTTGAGCTGGAATTATAGATGTGTTCCACGATACCTTTCTGTGTTACATATTCTTCTTACATTATTGTCATGTATGGTATTATCCAGAAATCTTTTTGTTTCTAACTTGTATTTAACGCTGCTACTTGTGTTTTCTAATAATGCAGCAATAACTTTCAGTATGTTGGGAGTGGTCAAACAACATGTTTGGTTTATGTTGGAGTTCTGGAGGCTGATAGAACGTTTCAACTGTCTTACAGATTTTACTTTCCTCACTGGTATTGCAGTGGCAGCAACAGAACCTATCGATACGGAATATCTCGTGGGGCTGAAGCACCTCTTCTTGATGACTTTGTCATGTCTTACCTCTTTGCTCAGGTATAATTATATTAACCTTTTTGCATATGTATTAAGTCAGAAATATCTCCCTGTGTAGTATGTCTCTTAATCAGGATAACCTAACATGAGAAAATTGCATTTCTAATGTACACAGCAGGTATAGAAAGATAAAAAGATAGTCTCTTTAATAGCAATTTTGATTTTATGATTTACAGATAATAAAATGTATTTGTAAATTCCTTGAGTTATTCCTTTTAAAATTCCTTTTAGGATTTAAGTAATTTTAAGAATTAAAAAAAAAAAAACCTGTAGAGTGAGTTTAACAACATTGTCCATATGGATATTAGATAGTAAAATTTATTTAGAGTTTTAAAAAATAAATTTCTGATCAATTTCAGGCTTAAAGAATAGGCAGTAAAATGTAAAAAAAAAAAAAAAAGTAACAAAAAATGAGCTCCAGTAGGTTGTGTACTTTCTCACAGGAGGGAGCTTTTGTTTGTTAGTTCTGTTAAGGGGCATTGTTTGTGGTGTTATTTCAGCCTTTCTTCTCTACTACCTTGAATTGAATTGAATTGTTTTGTAATTACTTTTATTTTTATGGGCTGCTAGAATAGTATGAACAGAAATTAAAGAAAGAAAAGCAATGTTAGTAATTCATGCTCTTGGGTCAAGATATCCCAAGTATCAGATTAAAGAGTTCCAAATCAGGTTTGTTGGTACCATAGGAAATAATGCCATAGATCTCCATGACTCACATTTCCAACAAGTCTTGCAATGCTTTTTAAGTTTAGAAACAAAAGTCCAAAACTATCCTTTGGGGTATGTGACTATTCCAATTTTTTTTCATTATGGTAAAAAAAATTAAAAATTTGTAAATTTACCACTTTTTAAGTTTACCACTTCAGTTTCATGAAGTACATTCATATTGTTTTACAATGATAGCTTCATACATCTCTAGAAAACTTTTCATCTTCATGCCCATTAAACGGTAACTATTTCCCTCTCAATCTTGGCAGTTGCCATTCTGCTTCCTATGAATTTGCCTATTTTAGTGCTTTATGTATACAACTGAGATTATACCACATTTGCCTTTTGTCTATCTGGATTATTCTAGTTAGTGTAATGCCTTCAGAGTTCTTCCATGTTGTAGCACGTGACAGAATTTCCTTCCTTTAGGGCAGAATAACTGTGCAATTGTGTATTCATTCATGTCTTGATGAATACCTGAGTTGCTTCTACCTTTGGCTTTCGGGAATAGTGCTGCTGTGAACATCTGTATACAAGTGTTTGAGTCTCTGTTTTCTGTTCTTTTGGATATATACCCAGAAGTGGAATCGCTGGATTATATGGTAATTCTGTTTGTAAGGTTTTGAATTGCCACACTGTTTTCTTTAGCTGCACCATTTTTTTTGTGTAAACAGTGAAAAAATATTTCAATTTGTCCATATCCTCAACAGCACTTTGTTCATTTATTCATTTGTCTGTCCTTCCTTTCTTTTCTTCCTTTTTCTGTCCCTCCTTTCTCCCCTCCCCTCTCCTCCCTCCCTCTCTTCCTTCTTTCCTAATAAAAGCCATCCTGATAGGAGTGAAGCAGTATCCCATTGTGGTAGCTGTTTCTTACTTATCTGGCCAATGCAGATGCAAATTTTTTTGGATAAAGTACAGCTGCTCGAAAATTTTTAAAAGACAAACTACTTTTTTCCAGTTTTAATTAAATGAAGTTTTGGTAGGCACATACTGTAATGCTTAAGCAATTCTAGTTTAACATAATTTGTCTTAGCATTTGAGATTCATTTGTAACCTTTCTTCAATGGGTATTTGCTTGGTTATGTTAGTGGTGTTCCCACTAGTTTTATATACACTTAACTTTCTTTTTGCTCATGAAATCCATGAATTTTCTGATAAGCAGAACTTAATTACCTACTGGTTTTATATGGTAATGGAACAAAGGCACGCCATTACAAAGAAATTGTCTAGTTATGTATAGATCTTAGTTAAAAAGTATAACTTACTTGTTTTCATAAAGAAATAGGTGCTTAAAACTGAGCAAAAATAGGGCTGGTGAGATGGCTCTGCAGGTAAAAGCACTTGCTGCCAAGCCTGATGACCTGAGTTTGACCCCCCCCCCCCCACTTCACATGGTGGAATGAGAAAAACAACTCTCAGTAATTGTCTTCTGAAACTCCACATGCTTGCTTGGCACTTGGGTGTCCTCTTCCCTCCCTCCCTCCCTCCCTCCCTCCCTCTTAATAAACAAACAATACAAATAAGATTAAGCAAAAAAAAAAATGTAACTGCTTCTCTGAATCAATTTTGTATAATAACATTTAGACCATTGTTTTAGTTAATATTTATTAATTCATGGTTTGTACTGTAATATTTCTTTTATTAAAATATTTTGGGGACTGGATAGATGGCTCAGTGGTTAAAAACATTTGCTGCTCTTACAGAAGACCCAGAGTTTGGTTCCGAGCACCCACATCAGACAACTCACAACCTCCTAAAACTCCAGTTCCAGGGGATCTAATATTCTCTTCTGGCCTCTTTATAAATAGTTAAATATACTTTAAAATTTTATTTATTAATTTAAAAAATGTATTATTTTTATTTTATGTATATGTGTGTATTGCCTGCGTGTAGGTAAGTGCACCTGTGTCGTGCAATGCCGGCGGAGGACAGAAGAGGCTATTGGATCCCCTGGAACTGGAGTTATGGACAGTTATTAGCTGCCATGTGGGTGCTGGGATTCGAACCCAGGTCTTCTGCAAGAACAGCTAGTGTTCTTAACTGCTGAGCTGTCTCTCTAGCCCCTTAAATATACTTTTAAGAATATATTTCTTTTATAAAGGTTATTTTTAAATTGTTTCTGTAAAACTTTAATTTTATGAGATAAATGATTCCATCAAAATAAAGAGATACATAGGTAAAATGTAGAATGAACCGGCGAGATGGCTTGGTGGGTAAAGACACCTGCCACCAAGCCTGACAACCTGAGTTTGACACCCAGATCCTGTGGTGGAAGCAGAGAACTGACCTGCAAGTTGTCCCCTGATCGCCACGCACGAAATAAATAAACAAATGTTTGAAATAATTTTTAAACAGAAGAAAAGTTATCCAGTTTAAAACCTTGGTTAAGTATTGGATTTCAAGTAAGATGTTTCGTGGTATTCTTTGAAATGAAGTTGGTGTTATTTTTACAGTCTCCACATTGTTTACCTTCTTTCCTTTCTTCCATTACATGTTAGTCTGATTCTAGCCATATCCCTAAAACATTTAATCAGAATCTTGAACTTTTTCTTGTTCTTGTTTCCCCTCCCTCCCTCCCTCCCTCCCTCCATCCCTTCATCCCTGTATGTGCACTTGCATGTGGAGACTAAGCATTGATGTCAGATGTCTTCTTCAGTCACTTTCCACCTTAATTTTTGAGTCAGGTCCCTCACTGAACCTGGAACTCACTGATTGGATAGAATGACTGATAGGAAGCTCCAAAGGAAGCTCCAGAGATTGTCCAGTCTCCATCCCTTAGCACTAAAATTGTAGGTGGGCACTACTGCATTTGGCTTTTCATATGGCTGCTGAGGCTCCAAACTTTTGTCCTCATGCTTATGGAGCATGTGCTTTACTGAGTATCTCTCTGATTTATTTATTGTAGGTAGTTAATAACATTAATTTTTCAGACTCTTGTAGGATCTTCTATTTCTTGTGTCAGATCCTTATTGTTTGAGCCACATACTAGCCTCTTAATCTTCTGAGCACACTTTATGTTCTCCAAGCACATCTGCAGTGGAAGGGACATGGTGGGACAAAGGCTTTGAAAAAGAGATAAAGTAAAAATAAAGCCCTCTATCTCTTCTAGAAGCAAGTTATTCAAGACTACCTTCAGCTGGTCCCAGCTAAAGTACTAGTTTACATCTCTGATCATGCCTTGTCCTTGGTTTTTGTTTCATTCCTTCATGTCATTGTTCTTTTTGTGTCCATCAAAAATGTCATCATTGAAAACCACATGAAGTTTCAGATCTTCCATGAGAACTTTTCTTATTATGCCGACTGGATACAACTTTAATGAGGTTGTACAGCACTAGAGCTCGTGTGGTACTTCATACATGTTACCTGGTGCTGAAATTCTTTGTTTTCATGTTTGTCTTCAAGGCTAATTTTGGTCTATTGGATGGTTTGAGAGCACATATATTTCTTTTTACCACACACAACTCTAATATAGTGCCTTCAGTGTAAATTGTACTCAGGGCACAATCTGATAATTAACATCTATTTTAATATAGGTATTTTTATGTTCTTAAGATAAAACTCAAAATTCTATGCAGTGAACTAGATTGTTGTATATACTGTATAGCTGTGAACCCAATTTAACTCAGTTTCTATTTGTATGTGAACCTTGTTTACTAATTTCACTTTGTGGTGAAATCATTTAAAATCAACTAGAAGTTGATTTATGACTTTTAAATGCATGTTTTGGAAACTATGTTGTAGGACATACCATAATTAAGTGTGATAGTGAAACTTAGAATGAGACATTTCCTTCTAAATTTTTGTTTTCAGTGGCGGCATGATTTTGTGCATGGATGGATAAAAGTACCTGTGACTCATGAAACACAGGAAGAATGTCTTGGGATGGCGGTGTTAGATATGATGCGAATAGCTAAAGAGAAGGATCAGACACCCCTGGCTATCTACAATTCCATCAGGTAATTTCCTTTTGCATATCCATATACACAAATGTGAACAGGTAGAAATTTACTCGTATTTTTAGTGTTTGCCCACATATTTTGATGTTATAATAAGAAGTTATGGAGCTAGGGAGGTGACTCAGCAGATAAAGTACTTACTGCATAAGCACAAGGACCTGAGTTCAGATTCCTAGAACCTAAATAAAAGCTGTGCGCAAAGCAAAGCTGTGTATCTGTAATCTCAGCACTGAGTAGGTCAGGGGATTGCCAACTACTATTCCAGCCATCACAGCCTAGTCCAAGTTCAGTGAGATATCTTGTCTCAAAAACTAAGGTGGATGGGTTAGAGAAATGGCTGAGTAAAGGTGCTTGCTGCATCAGCTTGATAACTTAACTCAGATCCCAGAACCCACTATAAAGGTGGAAGGAGTAAAACAACTCCAAGTTCTCTGACCTTCACATGCAAGCTGTGGCACATGTACCCTCACACACTTGCTCATGCACACATGTGCACACACACAATATAGTAGTAAATAAAATTTAAAAATAAATAAGCCAGGTGTGGTTGTGCAAACTTTAATCCCAGGGAGGATTAAAAGAGGCAGAGGCAGGTGGAAATCTGTGAGTTCGAGACCAGCTTGGTCTTCAGAGTGATGTTTAGGTCAGCCAGGGCTACTTAGTGAGACCCTGTGTCAAAATTTGAATAAATAAATAAAGTGGAAAGTGATAGAGAATGACACTATATTTTAATGCCTGGTCTCCATGTAAACATGCACAGTGAGTGCACCTACACCCACACATGCACACACTGCATACACTGCACTCACTCAAAAGTTAAATAATAAATGAAAATTTCTTGAGTAAACCCTTTTTAGTATAATGCAAACTTTTTTTTTTGCTTATTTTGAAAAGACTAGGTAAATTCAAAATAATGGAAGGAATACTTGAGGGGAATCATTTTTTAATGGCAGCTCCTCAAATTGTGCACATATTTCTCAAATTGTGGTTCGTGTTTACTTGCATCAGAATCTCTGATGCTGCATGCTAAAATGGAAGATTTTGGCAGATAGCTCAAGAGGTTTGGAGTCTGTAAATTTGAGCTGTGAGTTTTTGTAGGTGCTTCAGAGGATTTTTATACAAGTAATCCAAATTCATTATTCTCAAATATCTTCTACGTATTCGATTTTGATAATCATGGTCAGTTATTTTTTTCTTAATTATTTTATGTGTATGTTATGCCTGCATGTATGTAGGTGCACCCATGCTGTGCAATGCCCTCTGAGGTCAGGAGAAGATATCAGATTCCTTAGAACTGGAGTTACGGATGATTTTTAGCTACCATGTGGGTACTGGAAACCAAAACCGGGTCTTCTGCAAGAGCAGCCAGTGCTCTTAACCACTGAGCATCTCTCAGCCCCCCAATAGTTTTTGAAATCCTATTTTTACAAACTAGATTTATTGGCTGTATTATTTCTACTTTAAAAAAATGCTTATTGGGGCTGGAGACATGGCTCAGAGGATAAGAACACTGGTGTTTTTGCAGAGGACCTGGATTTGATTCCCAGCACCCATATGGCAGCTGACAGCTGTCCTGACTCCAGTTCCAGAGGATCTGATGCCCTCTTCTGACCTCCATGGGCATTGCACAACACGGGTGCACTTACACACATGCAAGCAATATACTCACATGCATAAAATAAAAATATTAAATAAAATATTTTTAAATGCTTACATAGCTATGTAAGTGCTTTGGTTTCCTTAGTTTGAAAGCCATGTATTATATATATGTATAATATCTATCTTACATATTACATGCTTGTTAAATTAAAAGTCTGAAGGTATGAAATGGTTACCTGCACCCTCTTCCAATAAGTGACTCAGTCACTCTTTTCTTTTGGTAGGTACCTGCAATATAGTTACAGAGGATCAGCTTCTGTGTTTTCCTCCTTGCTTTACAAGTACTTTTGCTTGGTTTTTAGATGTCTTGTTAGGCCCTAACACCAGAAAGTAGACTGTAAAGTCTGATTTCAGTAACTCACTCAGGAACTGAGATGATTATATCCCAAAGGAGAACCAAAAACATTTGTGTTCCTCTAAGGCCTTGAGTATTATTAAAATGCATACAGATAGAGGCTGGAGAGATTGCTCAGTGGTTGAGTTGGTAAAGAGCACACTCTGTTCTTGCAGAGGACCCAAGTTCAGTTCCTAGCACCCATACTGGGCAGCTCAACAGCTACCTGTAAACTCCAGTGTAGGGAATCAGATACACTCTTCTGGCCTCCATGGGCAACTACATTTATTTGGTATACACTCACACAGACACATGAAAATACACATGAATAAAAATAAATCTCAATGTGCAGAAAGATATTTTTAGATATTTAGTTCCCTTATTCCTTCATTTAATAAACTGCTATTTATTGCACACTTGCTATATGCCAGGTCATAGTAGAACAGAGGCGAAGGAAGAATATCTTAGAAGTTGTTGATAGAAATTGAAGGAATTTAAGAGAGCAGAGTTAAAGAACAAAAGCTTTGAGCTGCTGAAGATTAACAAAGTATAGATCTCTCTCTAGGTTTTTTCTCTGGGGCTGGGGGATACTTTTGCTTTTGAGAACATGATCTTATGAAAGTCTTGACACATCTTTCTGGTAAGATTGTAGTTTCTTTTAGTCAGGAATCATGCCATATATTATTTTTTCCTCTGTATTATTTGGTGCCTAAATCCAAAGAATAATAACTTACTATTTGATTTTTTTGAAATAAGGTCTCATGTAGCGCAGACTAACTTCAAAGTCACAATGTAGACAAATAGAATGACCTTGAACTTCTGATCCTCCTGCCTCCACCTCCCAAGTGCTGAGATTTTTAAAAATTTTATTTTATGAGTGTTTGGCCTATATGTATGTAAATGCACCCATGTCATGCAGTGCCTACAGAGGCCAGAAGAGGGCATCTGATCCCCTAAAACTAGAGTTACAGACAATTGTTAGCTACCATGTGAGTCTTGGGAACTGAACCTAGGTCCTCTTGTAAAAGCAGCCAGTTCTTTTAACCACTGAGCCATCTCTCCAGCCCCTCAGATTTAACTTTTGGAGGAAACTGCCCAACTTTTCCAAAGCATCTGTAACATTTTGTATTCCTGTTAGCAGTACATGAAATTTCCAGCTTTCCCAGAACTTATTTCTGCTTATCTTTATTTTACCCATCTTAGTAGGTAGAAGAGGTAACTTTCTTGTTTTGACTTTTCATTTCTCCATGACTGCTGATGTTAAACATCCTTTAATGAGCTTATTGGCCCAATGTGTGTATATCTTCTTTGAAGAAACGTTTATTTAAATTCTTCCTTGTGTTAAAGTGAATTATTTCTATTTTTATTATTGAGTTAAAGAGTTCTTTATATATTCTGAATGCAAGACAAGTCTCCAAATACAGTATTACCACATACAGTTTGCAGATGGTTTCTCACATTCTCTGAATTATTTTTTTAAGATTTTACTATTTTTATGTGTATGAATGTATTGTCTGCCTCTGTGTAAGTGCACTTATGTCATGCAGTGCCCTTGGAGATCAGAAGAGGGTGTCGAATACCCTAGAACTGCAGTTATGGATGGTTGTTAGCCACCATGTGGGTGCTGGGAATTGAATCTTGGGTCCTCTGCAAGAGTAGCCAGTGCTCTCAACCACTGAGCCATCTCTCTCTAGCCCTATAGTCTGTGAATTATTAGTTTTAACTTTCTTGATTGAATTATTTGCAGAACCAAAATTTTAATTTGAAAATAGTTCAGTTTGCCTCTTTTTCTTGTATTGAGCCATGGTATTTTAAAATATTGGGTAAATAATTTATACTTTCCCTGAAATAAAATATCCTTGCTCTGCTTGTCTTTTTAATGTAATTTGACACATATTTAACTCACCGATGTTTTCTCATTTGGTGGTCATTTCTGAAAAATAATCTGATAACTAGTTATCGTTAAGGTGTTTACATTTGATGAGATAGTAGAAGGAGGGGTTAGTTCTTTTCAGAGTGAAATAACCTGCTTTGTTCCTGGAAAATGTCAATAGAATATAGATTTATGAATAGTATACATGCATATTCTTTCTTAGACTTAAGAAGTACTTGTGCCAGGCATGGTGATGCACGCCTTTAGTCCCAGCCGGGTCTCTGTGAGTTCAAGGCCAGCCTGGTCTACATAGTAAGTTCCAGGTCAGCTGGGGCTAAAGGGGACCCCTTTTTAAAAAAAAAAACCCAAAAAAAAAAAAAAAAGAAATACTTGTAAGAGGTGACCTTGTATGTCTGTGAACACATATTTCTGTGTGTACATGTGTGTATGTATTTATATATGTATGCATGCATGTATGTATGTATGTACCTCTTTGTAGTGTGTATGTATTAGATACTCTTTTGCGTACAAATTCCCATTGGACATTGTGATTTATGTGTTGTAGTGCAGAAAGCGATGGAGATTAAGAAGGTTTTTCCATTTTTGTTCTTCATCTGCTCTTTGAAAATCTGTTCATTAAAAGGTGGGAAGGGGAGAACTGGAGAATGGAAAGAAAATGAAGGAGATTCTGTTGGACATGGACACTATATGTCACCTTCCCAAACAGTGAAACAGAAATCTAATGGTCTGTTCCAATTGTAAAAGTAAATAGATTTCACTACAGATTATACACTATGGAGCAAAAAATAGTGTAGTCAACGGAAAGCTCAATCTTAAATTTTATTTATTTTTATTACTTAAAAAATATTTTACTTATTATTTTTATTTTTATGTGTATGCGTGTATTGCCTGTACGTAGGTAAGTGCACCCATGTCATGCAATGCTTGCGGAAGTCAGAAGAGGCCATCAGATCCCCTGGAACTGGAGTTATGGACAGTTGTTAGCTGCCATGTGGGTGCTGGGATTCGAACCTTGGTCTTCTGCAAGAACAGCTAGTGTTCTTAACTGCTGAGCATTTTATGAGTATGAGTGTTTGGCCTGCATGTATGTAAGTGTACCTGTGCATGCAGTGCCTGTGGAGGCCAGAAGAGGGCATCAGATCCCCTGGAACTGGAGTTATGGAGGGTTGTTAGCCTCCATGTGGGTGCTGGGAACTGAGCCCAGGTCCTCTACAAGAGCAGCCAGTGCTCTTAACCAATGAGCCATCTCTCCAGCCCCACAAGCTCAATTTTAAAGCCCTTCACAACTTCAACTTTAGCATTCTTTAAAAGCACAATATAAGGAAAACATTAGAAAAGCTATTATTAACATTATTTTAAGCTTTAAATGTTAGCTCTATATCTTTTGAAAGGTTTTAACATATGAACCAGTTCTGATTCTGGTAGGCTAACATTGAAGAGAACTCACTCTGCTTGAGAACAATACTCCCATCGCATTCCCAAAGGATATACTTCTGGTTTTCAGTTCGAGGCACCAAATTAGAAAGTCTGTTGTATATCCTAGCCTTTCTTTACTCTCTGCGTAAAGTTTTCAAAGCCTTCTTAAATCAGGCAGCCATTTGTGTCTATGTAAATATTGTGCCAGGTTTTACAAAGCTGTTGGAAAGACATAAAACAGGATTTATTGTTTGTAGTCTGTTTTTTTTGTTGTTGTTGGTTTTTGTTTTTGTTTTTGTTTTTGTTTTTTTTTTTTGAGAAAAGTGTCTCATTATGTATCTCTTACTGTCCTGGAACTCTCTATGTAGACTAGGCTGGGCCTGGAAATCAGAGATCCTCCTGCCTCTACCTATTGAGTTCTGGGATTAAAGGTGTGTGCCACCACGCCCGGTAACATTTTTATGTCTTATTTTTAGACTATGTTCAAAACTTATGTGGATCTTTTCTGTGCTATCCAGATTATCATTAAATAGATATTTATTTACAAATATATAATTGCTATGAAAAACATATACTATTAGGGGAGTGTATTGATTGGAGACTCAATCTATTCCAAAAAAGAATAGAGTATAAATTAAATGAGTATAGTTTAATGGGTAGGAAAGGGTGAATAGGAAGAGTGGAAATTCACACACACAAAAAAACCTTTGTGGCAGAAGCTCAGAGAATTAGTAGGAGAAGAGACGTGGTTAGAACATGCAGATCTTTAGGGTTATATAAGAAGGGTAAGAACATTAACAGACATGCAGAAGAATGAAGCTAGAGAAAAGTGATTAGGCTTGTGTGCCTTCATTATAGAAAACAAAGCAGAGGTTCATAAAACAGATGGGAATGCAATTTAACCAGAGAGTAGGCCATGCCAGTAATTCCTCTAGGAGATGTGATGGCTTGGGTGAAATAGGAGAAAAATAAACAGAGAAGAGAAGGTAAAATCATTAGATGTAGTGGTAGATTTAGTAGTGAAATTGAGGGAAAAGGTGATTCAAAAGATGATTCCTAGATTTCCAGGCTTGCAGAAATAAATGAATTATGATATACTTCTTTCTATTCCTATGCAGAGAATGCTGTAATAGGATTGGGGCGGGGGGAGATGAGGTTAGGAGGACTCATAACTTTGGTTAGATACATTGAAGAACTTTTGAGGCATCAAAATTAAATAAGTGGACTGACTTAACTGTGAGATATGTGGGTCTGGAGCTTAACCATCAGTGCTAGACATAAAAACAAGGGAGTCATTTTCATAAAGATATTAGAGAAAAAGAGTACAGGTAAAAAGAGTAGAGGATCCATAATTGATCTTGAGAAATTGCATAATATTTAATCATTAGATACTGTAGACAGTGAGCCCCAAAAGAAGATTAAGAAAAGGTAACCAAGGAGTTATAAATAATATCAGGAAAATACAAGTGGTTGGAGAGATGGCTCAGTGATTAAGAGCACTGGCTGGGTTCACTTCCCAGCACCGACATGGTGGCTAGCAGTCATCTATAACTCCAGTTCCAAGGGATCCAACACCCTTTTCTGGCCTCGACAGGCGTTGCACATGAGTGTACTTATACACATGAGGCAAAACACTCATACACATACAATTAAAATAATAAATAAAAGACACATGCTAGGAGAAAATTACTAACAATGTTGAGCACTGTTGAAAAACTGTAAAGTAAAATGAACAGGAAGATGTGGTTTTAGTAAACACAGAAGTCTTTCTTGATTTTAGCAAGAGCATTTTCCCTTGGAATGATGCAACAAAAGCCACACTGCAATGAGTTGAGTAAATAAACAAAAGGAAAAAAAAAAAAGGAAATGACTGCTTCAACTCTTCTATAAAAATGCCAGATAGGCTGTAGCTAGAGGGAAATGTGGAATCAGGAGATTCTAAAATTTAAGTCAAGAAAAATATTGGTATTTTAAGCATGTGGGTAGAAGAGAAATAATACATGGAATAAGGTCAAGAGGGTTTGCATGTTATTAGAGCTTTCTCTAATAACATGAGTTATTACATGAGTGAATGTAATATAAATGAGTGAATACATGTTAAAGAAGTGATTTGGGAGACTGGAGAGATGGCTCAGAGGTTAAGCACACTAGCTGCTCTTGTAGAGGATCTGGTTCAATCACAGCACCCACATGGCGGCTGGCAACTCCAGTTCCAGGGGATCCAATGCCCTCTTCTGGCCTCTGCAGGCATTGCATGACACGGGTACACTTGCATACATGCAGGCAATACACTCGTACACATAAAATAAAAATAATATATATGTATATATAAAGAAATTAATTGGTCTGGCAGGTTCATACTTCCTTTATTACTTTGGTGAAAAGGAGAAGAAAATTAATGCAGACGTACAAAGATTTGTTAACCAAAGTAGTAAAGGATTCCTGTTTAAAGGAATTCCACATTTTCCCACACCCCCACTATATTAGGAGATAAAGGTGTTTGTTGAGAAAGAATATTGCTGAGGTTTGAAACAAAAGGTTTTGAGGAAATTAAAACAAGTTTTAAATAGTTGTGGAAGTTGAGAAAAATTAGTTGAACAGAGAAATGCCGTAAAAGTGATTGCCTATTAGAATTTAGTGATTATGAACTTACAACATAGCCGAGCTGCCATGCAAAGTACCTTTCTCTAGCAGCTTTGGTACTTGACTTCAAAACTCTGAGAGTTCTACAAGGGGTCTTGTGTTCAGGGAGAAAGAATATAAGCAATGATATGCTGAAAACAACCAGTTCCAAAAAGTAAAAACAAAATAAAACAAAAATCTGATTTTTAAAATTTGTGTAAAATCTTTGCTGATATCCGTGGATCATCGTATGATCCATGATGGCCAGGTTCAAGGTATTGGCCTGAAGTCACTGAATACAGAATTAAGAGCAGTGGCCAACTCCTCACCATGCGCAGGTAAAAGTATCCTCAAAGGCACAGATAGTAGTAAATGAAAATGAAAATTAAATGAGTTCTGAGTATTTACTACCTGTATATGTAATTCAGCATTTAATTATAAAATTGTATATCTTGAATTTTAATGATGGATATTTAGCAGTCAGCTAAAAATTCCTTGAAATTATAAGCACTCACCTTGAGCCAGCCCTAGAATACCATTGGTGGTAAATAAACTGGTCCAGAATGGAGTAAGTGAAGTGGCACTCACAGGACTATGAAAACAAAGGGAGGAGCGCCTAACTCAGTTTTAGAATGAATGCCAGACAGGGTTCCTGGATTTGGTGATGTTTGAGATGAGAATTGTAGAGGAGATGGAGGATAGTGAAGAGGAGCATACAGGAGGAGATGGAGGATAGTGAAGAGGAGCATACAGGAAGGGGTAGAAAATGCTGCTAGTTGTACTTCAGAAATAAAGTTATCAGAAGTAGAGAAGTAAGTTTTCTTTCTTTTTGAGGCTACTATACATAGATAAATGTATACATAAAATAATGTAAGCAAAATTTTGCTTATAAATGAACAGTAGTGTCTAGACAAGTATGGCAATTTCCAGAATTTAGATAAATTTTGGAGTACTGCATTTTAGGAAATACCTACAGGACAAAGCAGTAACTGCCAAAAATCATCTTAGGTATGCAAGATAATCAAAAGATGAGCTTTTAGAGACTACATTTATGTGAACTGAGTACTGATTTCATGAGGAGCTGAAAATTAACATGTCCTATTTTAAACTAGATGGGAACTCAGAAAATGCATCTATATCAAATGAAAGCCTAAAGTTCTTTTCATGTGTGAATGGTGATTATGTCAACCTACTCTATTTGACTACTGTGTTGTTGCTAATGCTTTTCGTGGGAAAAGATAGAAATCTTTCTATTTTGTTTTAGATTTGTCTCCCAGTTTTATGTTTTGTTTTCTCTGTGTGTCATTTCTAGCTATAAGACATTCTTACCAAAATGCGTTCGAGCAAAGATCCAAGACTACCATATTTTGACCCGGAAGCGAATAAGGTACCGATTTCGCAGATTTATTCAGCAGTTCAGTCAATGCAAAGCCACTGCCAGGAACTTGAAACTTAAGTATCTTATAAATCTGGAAACTCTTCAGTCTGCCTTCTACACAGAGCAATTTGAAGTAAAAGAATCTGCAAGAGGTCCTTCAGGTGAGGAGATTTTTGCAACCATTATAATAACTGGAAACGGTGGAATTCAGTGGTCAAGAGGGAAACATAAAGAAAGTGAGACACTGACAGAACAGGTAATTCTTAATGATATGTTCTTGTTCTTTGTTATGTTAAGTAGAGTGGCAATAGGAAAAAATAAGTTTAGTCATTTGAAATATGACCTTGTGCTTCCCCTGCTAATAGAAGTATCACTCTGTGAAGCCATCAGAATTGTAACTAGTTCTTGCCAGTGTACTTAAATGTTTTATTATTTAATTTTTATGCCAAAATAATAGTAATAATGTTCTTATAGTTTCAGAAAAGGATTGAATTCTATAAGTGATTTTTAAGTTAATTTTGCTTCCTTTATTTTTTCACTATTCTTGATATTGAGGCACAATCATAAAACTAATTAAATTTTAATTAACTAAACTTTAATTGATTTTGATATTATAATTTAGTTTTATAAGATTTGCATTACAAGATTTTAGTTCACATCTGTCATTCATGTATTGCTTCAGAGATTTAGAAGTATGATTGTATTTTTTATCTTCGATCATCTTAATTTTCTGACAGTGGTTCTTTTGAATGTTAATTGGATTAAAGAGTATTATAACAAACTAATTTCCTGTTGTCCTGCAATGCTCTCAGTTTTAAGTCAAAGCAAGATGCATAAATACAATCCTAGGTTCAAATTTCTGGAGAAGTAATGACATTTTCTATTACAGTTATCTTTTTATTTTAAAAAACTTTAAATGAGTGTCATCATCTTCATAAGTCTTTCTTTGAGATGACATCATAATGTTTTAATTTTAAATGCTTTTAATTACAGGATTTACAGTTATATTGTGATTTTCCTGATATTATTGATGTCAGTATTAAGCAAGCAAACCAGGAATGCTCAAATGAAAGTAGAATTGTAACTATCCATAAGCAAGATGGGAAAATTTTGGTAAGTTTGTATTACCAAATGAACAGTGGTTCATTTTTAGAATTTTTGGAAGTATTTTAGAGTCTTAGTACCAGAGTTAACTTAGGAATTTTGATTGTAGCTTTTAGTACAGCTCTACGAAGTACCAAAGTGGGCATCGTGGCACACATCTTTAATCTCAGCACTTGAGAGACAGAGGCAGGCAATCTCTCTGAGATCAGGGCCAGCCCGGTCTACATAGCGAGTTCCAGGCTAGTTTGGGCTACAGGAAGACCCTCAAAAAGAACAGTAAACAAATAAACACAGAAATACCAGCTCAGTGAACTTTTTTTTATTATATGTAGTTTTTTTTTAATATTAGTATCAGCACTATCTAATTTTCACTCACTTTTACCCCCAGTTCTCCTACATTTTTTTTTGCCAACCCTGGGTTGTACTTAATTCCCTGTTGCTAAAGTTCATTCCTCACAAAAATATTTTTATCATTAGAGATATGCATAATGCCAATCACACTGCCTAATTAAAATGAAAAATAAAACAATCTTATATGGGACTTACATTACAAAATGCAGTATAATACCATTTCAGTCTTAATTCAAACTGTATGATGTTGATTCTTTTTTTTTTTTTCCCATCCTCTCTTCTAGCCTCCACGAGCATTGCATGCACTTGGTACACTGATGTACATGTAGGCAAAACATGCATACACATAAAATATAATAGTTGTAATTATTGTACTGCTTTTGAAAGTTAGCATTCACAGTAATTGGTTTCATTGTGGCATTTTCATACATATGTACCATTATACTTTGTTCTAATTCCTCTCCCCAGCCCCCGCCCTCACCCATGCCCTCTCACATCCCTTTGGGTTCAAGGGATCAGACTCAGGCCATTAGGCTTGTACAGCAAGCACTTCTTTTAACCCACTGAGCCATTATCACCAGCCCGCCTATGCTACCTGTGTTATCCTCTAGCTGTTTCAGGGTTCAGGTCTTAGATTGAGGGCTTTGATACATTTTGAACCTTTTATTGCACAGGGTGAGAGAGATGGATCTCATTTCTCTATACGTAGAAATCCAGTTTTCCTGGCATCATTTGTTGATTAGGCTTTCTTTTATCTGAAGTATGTTTTTGATACCTTTGTCAAAAATTAGGTGGCTAAGCTGTATGGGTTTCTTCCTGGATCCTCTATTCT